TGTTTGCTTTAATGCCCATGTAAATCCTCTCAGGCTACACAAAGGATGAAATCCAGAGGACTGCCTTCTCTTCTCCCCAACAAAACGATCTCCTTCTTGTATAAGTTATTTTTTCTACTAATGTTGGTACTAATTTGAGAGTTGCACTTCTTATTTGTAGGGCTCATCTCCTGCTTAATTTCTTGACAAGCTGAAAAAGTTAAATGTCCTGCAGGTTTTCCTACAATCATGACCTTCAAAACAGTGTGCACTCCGTTGTTTTCCTAATGATTAAATCTAGATTATGTCTCAAGTTTTCCACCCAAACCACACATGTGGCAAAACTTTCTTGAAAGAACACTGAGTGATGGCTGAGTGCCATCAAATATTTCTCCACATTCCTTATCCTCACAGCATCTTTCCAAATCAGTGCCTTTTTGAAGATGAATGCCATCTGTCTTAAGTGTTTACCCAGTTTCCCTTCTACTTCAACCAATGCCTATGCTGCCATTTTTGCTATATGGAAAGCTGGAGAGACATGCAAACTGAGTTGCATTAGAAGGGCGTAGCCAGGGGCCAGGCCCTAGGCCTAATGGTTCAGTTTGGCACGCTCTGCTTCAGTGGCCTGGGTTCGGTTCCCAGGTGTGGGCCTACACAACTCATCAGTGGCCATATTGTGGCAGTGACCCACATATAAAATAGAGGAAGACTGGCACAGATGTTAGCTCAGGGCAAATCTTTCTCAAGCAAAAAGAGGAAGATGGGCAACAGATGTTAGCTCAGGGCAAATCTTCCTCAGCAAAAAAAAAGAGAAAAAATAATAATAATAATAAAAGATAGATAAGATAGATAGAGGCCTAGCTTTCCATTCGATCTTAGTTCTCTGCATTAAGGAGAGGCACAGCTACACCAGTTTGGGAGAAAGAGACCACTGCAGATGGCTCATCTGACAGTAAAGCATGCCATTCCAAACATCTATGAGTCCCATATTTTTATGCACTGCCCGGACCTCCTGCTGAGCTCCTGACAAGTGCATTCAACTGGCTTCACAAATCTCTACTTGGGTGTCTCTAAGTCCCCTCTCATTCATAGGTCATTGACAGAACCAGTCAAGACACAAGACAGTTCCAAACACTCCTGAATCTACATGAAAGCTATCTATTAGGGAGTTCTTCGTGCTATTCATGTAACTCTTTGTTTAAATTATTTCTACATAAAAGTAAACACAAAACTTCTATTTCCACCCTTCAAAAATCTATGCCTTTTCCAGGTTTCCCCATGTCGTTGACTAATGCCAGAAATTCAGGAGTAACAGTTTTTCTCCTTTATTGTATTTTTAAAAGGAGATATTGACACACACATTACAAAGAATAGTTGCAGGAAATCCCCTGCAGCTTTCACCTAAGAGGGATTCTGGGCAGCTTGCTCTCTTTCACCCCCTTAGTCAGGTACTCACCCAGCCTCAGTGAATCCACCTATGAATGGGGAGAAGCCCATGCCAGCTACTCCCTCAGGCCAGGTATCACCACCTCTTCCTTAGATGCTACCACAGCCCCCACCTGCTTCCATCTGCCCTACCATAGCTTTCTTCACAAGCACCCAGAGTGAGCTGTGAAAAGCCACACTACACATCTGCTCAATGAAAATCAAACTCCCCTCACAGTTAGAGGCCCTGTGTGCTCTCTCTGCCAAACTTAACTTGCATGTCAGTACACCTCTGTTTCCTCCTCCCAGCCCACTGGGCAACTTTCCCTGAATATGCCAAGCTTGTTCCATTCTCACCGTCACCCCAAACAGTGTCTCTGTCCATGCCTGGAAGCTTTCTTCACCACCACTCTTACCTGGCTGCAAACTTATTTTTCTTCAGAGATCAGCTTAACTCTCACCCTGCAGTGTCCCCTGACCACCTCCTCTAGAGTAATTCCCCACTGCTCCCTGCTTTACACCATGCTCCTTTTCTTTTCAGTGCTCACCACTATTTATCTGTGCTTACACAAGTACACCTGTGTAACTTGTTTGCAGAAGGCTGTCATCTATTAGACTACGATGTCTACAATGGCAGGGATTATGTTAGGTCTTTGGTTTACTACCAAAGTATTTAGTATACTGCATGGGACACAGGAGGGCTTCCGCAAGTATTTGTGAGGTGAAACAAGGGAGGCAGTGGAGGGAAGACATCACATAAAGGACTCTTTGTGACAGAGCACAGATGAGTTAGGCACTTACCACCTCAGGCCTAGCCTGCAAGAGTGTGCTGATAAGCCTCCCTGCACATGGTCTCTTGCTCTGGGGCAACCCCCCGCCCCCGAATCTCCTGTCACCTGTCAAGCCAGCTCTCTTGAGATGTGCAGAACCACAGGTGCCCAATGCCTCCCATGGCAGCTAGATTTGGGGAACTACTAGATCATCCAGGAGTGCATGGCTAGGTTTGCCCACACAAGACGTAGGACTTAAACTCCAGGGAGGATGAGACACAGACCTACCACAGCCAGAGCCACAGAGATGGGAAGGGACGTTAAGAGGCTGGATCAAGGGAGCAACCAGACGGAACAGAAACCATGGTGGATGGATACAAAGTGCTTGTGTTGCTGGGGACCTTCCAGGGGAGGTATAGTTTAGTGACCTGTGCTAATGGTCAGAAGGGAGTTTTCAATGTAGGAAGTGAAAGGAATGACTGAATATGGAAAGAAAAACAGAAAACATTAGTGCTGAGCCATGAGGCTGAAACATAGAGTTCAGAAAAAGGGGGCGAAGAATCACAGAGACTCCAGTCTTTGTTGTGGCAAACAGGTCATCACCAAAGATGGGGCCAGGCCCAGATTTCACAGCTGAATACTGCCAGGAGCAGGGAGCGCCAGCGTCACTTACACTGGAGCACAGAGAATAAAGGGAAGAGAGAGCATCCACAGTTTTCTTTACCAAGCCAGCACACTCTGATACAAAAGTTGACAAAGAAGAAAATCACCTCCCCAACCTAATTTATGAACATTGACACAAAAGTCCTAAAAAGTAAGTCAACAGGTACCAGGAGCACATTACAACCAGGGCAAGTCTATGTTTGTTATGTCACTGTGTTAACTGTTCAAAGGAGAAAATCTCTATGGTCACCTTGGAAGGCTTTGGAGGGAAATTGGGGCTCTTACTTATTTTCATTTATTAGGAAGAGCTAGATGACTATTTCTTTATCTAGGTAAAAACTGTTTCGAATGAAAGCAGAATCCAGTGTCGTGCTTGTCAAAACCTAGAAACTCCCATTCAGAGACCAGACACTCACTTTTCACACTTAGCTTCACAGTATTTCAGAAGTACCAGCTGTGATGAATGTAATTACATGATTGTGCAAAAGAAGTATTAACACAAACGCCTCCTCCTTTATACTGAGAAAATTAATGAGAATCTAACAAAAATGTTACAAATAATAAGGAAATCAACAGCATGACAGGTCATCTGGAACAACAACGCAAGAATCCAAGGGAAGATTAACCTGAGCAGATTACGGCAACATAAAGCCTGACAGTACTCAGACGGCCTGACATAGCACAGTGAGGTGAGCAGATCCCTCTTTGTACACTCGTGCTAAAACTCGACTAGACAGACCAATTCTGCATCAAAGAACTTCTAATTCCAATTAAATGTAATACACATTCTAACAGGATTTTCTCAATGAACCCTAACAAGCTGATGGTAAGTGTTCATCGGGCAAACCAGGTGGTTGAGAACAGCTAAGAATTTTTTTTTAGTGAGAGGAACTACCACTTATCCAAGTTTGTTATAAAACTATAATAAGTACAGCAATATGGTGTTTACTCAGAGACAGAGATCAAGGGAGCAGAAGGGGCAAAGAAAAATGCCTGCACACGACGACAGCTATGGGAATTTAGTCCATAGTAAAGATGGTGTTTCCAATAAGCAGAAGAACCTAGTCAGAAATGGTGTTGAAAGAACTTGTGCCCCACACCATATACACAAGAAAACTCCAGATAAATGCAACAGCTAAACAAAAAGAAAAATACTAGAATACAAGAAAGTATTTGTACAATCTGCCTACGTATGATATGAAACCTAGAACAGGAATAAAGACAGATTTGAAAGGAAAAATACCTGCAATCATAAAACTTTATGGAGACTAAAAGTAGAAAAGAAATGTTGGTCTGGCATATTTGCAATATTAGCATCCATAATACAGAGTTCCCCCACACACACACACAAAAGACCAACAGGAAAAAAATGGGAAAGTATATGAACTCACAAAAAAAAAAAAAAAAGGTCCACAAACTTATGAAAATATGTGTAACTTCATGAGGGAAATGTGAACTAAACTGAACACATTATCGTTTCCCATCAGATCTGCAAACCTTAAAAACACCATTATAAATCGCTGGCGATGAAGGGGAAAGGGAGCTCTCATGTACTTGAGCAGCTACATGTATTTTAAAGGATTTTAGACATTAATTTGTTGCTACCACACTTTCCAGCTTACACGTTGGTTGATTCTGAAGTTCCATTTCCAGAAATCCTACTTACCAAAAAACCAATTTGAATGTGCAAAAAAAGGTATGCAAGGAAGTTTTTTGCAACAACTTGAATGTCTATCAAGAGGGAAAAATCAGATGTGGATTACACTGCATCTGGTAAAATGAATGAAGCAGACCTGTCTGTACTATAAGCCCCCAAAAACATAAACACGTATTCATATACATACATGTAAACATATATAAAAAACGTCTGCCCAGAGACTCCAGTTACTGGTGATTACATGATGAGGGGCAGGAGACAGTGAGCGGAGCAGGGTGAGGGAGCCCCTCTTGCCAACCCGTCACTGGCAACAGGTTTGCGTTCAACCAAGCAGGATACCCCTGACTCAGGCCAGAGGAAACGCAGAGCTTGATTCCACATGTCTATGGCTACTCATCACAGCACCCCACCTAGGGTTTCTCCCCGTGCACCTTTTCTAAGACACCAGTCCCTGACTAACCAGTTGGCCCATTCCCTGCCAGGACTCCCGTGTGCCTCGTTCTCACCTGAAAAGGTGTCTTGAGGAATTCCTCTCTCCACCGACCAGAGCTCTTCCTCCTCCTCTAACTGAGATACCACATCTGGCTTGGAAAGCTGATGTTCTGCCCAAGGGAAAAGAGACAGGGCTTGGGGGTCTGTGTTCAGGAGAAAATGCTTTCCTGCTGTGGCACATGCTGTCCCCACATTCTCCCCTGCTAGGGTGTGACTTCTGGTCTAGGGCAGTGATGATAACCCCATCTATCTCCTTTGCCAGCTGCTTGCTTTCCTGGACTCCCTTGCCAGTAAAGGTGCCAGTGGGACCCAGTTCTGGCCAGCAAGACACAAAGGGAAGCCTGTCAGCTGCGGCTATCTTGCTACACGTGACAGCTGTGAAAAGAGAAGTAGCCAGGGCTGCCCCCTCCCCTTCCTTCTTTCTGCCTTGAACAGGGACATGATGCTTGGTGCCACAGCCACGCAGCAACTAACCAGAGAATGGAAAAGTTCACACTGACCACAGGGAAATGAAAGGGATCAGGGTCTTTGGTGATACTCCTGAGCTGCTGGACACTCACACCACGTCCTCTGGAATTCTTGTTACAAAAACAAGCATCCACTACTGCAGCTGAAAAGATCCCCGATAGACCCACCTCCCTGGTATTCAAGGCCTCTGAGGGATGGACTGGGTGAAGCTTCAAAAGCCATATGTGAAGTTGCCTTTTTCCTCTGGTACAAAGTAAAGCCCTCTCCCTCAGTCTCCAGGGCCTTGACACTTGCACTCTGATCCCTGCAGCCTGAGCCCAAGCAGACACACACTTCAGAGGCACCACATTGGTGCTGCAAAGCACAGATCTTTATTGACATGGAGGCCAGCCTTACCCACTGAGACCAGATTCCTGTAGTTCTCCAGCATCACCTCCCTGTACAAGGACTTCTTTTCGAGGTCCAGCAGTCCCCACTCCTCTGGAGTAAAACCCACGGTTACATCTTCAAAAGTCACTGGTTCCTGAAACCCACAAGTTCCTGTTAAGCCAGGGCCTGTCGTCAACCACGCTGACAGGAGGGGAGAGGCTGATGGAGCATGTGAAGGCACAGTCTACAAGATGACCTGAGAGCATTCCAGGTGTCTCATCATGTGTTCCTGCGTTTGTCTGAAACTGAGCAAACCCAAGCTAGACCCTATTCAGGCCACAGTAAGGACAATACGTGACAACAGAAAGGGTTCTTCGTTCTCTGAAAACCTCTCCATTTCTTATTAACTTGGGGATTCCCACACCACTATCAATGTGTACTCCTCTTACTAGGGAATTCCGTGAGCTGAATCATCACACCCAAGCCTTCAGCCCCCACCCACTGCCCGTGCTGCTGCTGCTTTCACCTGTCAAGGATCCATCCTCATCTCTCTTTTCTCCTAGCGACTGAACTCATGTCACCCCTAGCTTTGATGCCAAAATAGCTGCTGAAATCTAAATGTGAGCCTGATCCCTGCTTAGACCCGTCACTGCCTCCTCCCAGTTTAAAGGATAAATGAGAATTCTCCGTAATCTGATCTCTAACTACTTCCTTGCAAAGCTAAGCAACCTGCGGTTCCTCCATCCAGCACGGTCTCTCAGGCCCACCCAGTTCCTCTCCCCTCCCCGAGACCGACCTGACGCATCTCAGGGAAGGTGGTGTCCCACAACCATCCGGCCACCCCCACCCCCGGAACCAGGGGTAGACTCAGAAACTCAAAGAAGCGTCTACTCACACAGAACCAGGCCGTTGGAAGCCCAGAAGCCATACCTTCCTTCTCCTCGACGTGTCTCGTATGAGTGGACAATCCTGAGAATGTCGAATTAGGGAGGTGGGAGGGGCCTGAGGGCTACGTCGAGGGGCCCCCTTCTGCCCACAAGCGACCCCACTGACGGGAAATGACAAGTCCTCCCCCACCTCGGAAAACGCCCTGAAGGGATCGACTCCACCTGCGGACCGGTTTCCCCACGCCGAGCGGAGTCCGCCCTCCCGCCTTCCCCAGCCAGAGGGAGTGGACCCCCGCCCCAGTCCGCAGGCCCGGAGGGCTCGGCCTGCCACGCCCGCAGGGAGTAGTCTTTCTTTGACCCTGAAGCCCCGACCACACCGCCCCTTCCGGCTCTGCGGCAGGAGGACGGCTGGCGAGGCCAGCTCCGGATCCTGAGCTTAGCGGGGAAGGGACTGAGGCTGGGCGCACCCCGCGCAGCGTCTCCAGCCCAGCCCCGCACAGCCCCCGACGGGCGGGAGTTTCGCGCCGCACTCACCCCGCGCGCGCGGCGCACAATGGCGCCCGTGGGCCCGCGGCGAAGTGCGTCAGCGCGCCGGCCCGGACTACAACTCCCAGACACCCCTGCGCCGCGCCGCGCCCGACCGCTCCAGGCGGCGGCCATGTTGGCCGTCCAGTTCGGGGTGCCAGGCGAAGCCAGGGAGGGCAGGAGAGAGTGCTCGTGCGTCCCTCAGCGGTCCAGCCGGGCAAGGGGAGCCCTCGGGTTGGGGCACGCCAGGTCTCGGGGGCTGCAGCACTGCGTGGGCGGCGACCCACGCCGGGAGGAGTCTCGTCCCGCCACGAGGGTGACCACGCGTGGGGCGGACCGGAAGTTGCAGAAAGGAAAGGCGTGGGAGGGGAGGCGGGCCGGAAGTGGTGGAGTGGATTGAAGTCTGTTGGTAGGGGTGGTGGGACTGATTATTACATCCTTGGGCGGAAGGGAGGGCAGGGCCGGAAGTGCAGGGGCGGGGCTAACTGCTCCTCATGCCCACTGTAGAGGAAGCGGGGCGGGAAGCGTGTAGGAGGCGGAGCTAACGTACCCCCGAGTTTCTGGGAGAGGAGGAGGGGCGGGCAGGAAGTGCAGAGGGGGCGGAGCCGAAGTTCCCGCAGGTTCCGGGGAGAGGGAGAGACGGGAAACACGGAAGTGTGTGTGTGTGTGTGGCGGTGCTAAATGTGCATGCATGTCTAATGGAGAGGAAGGAGGGGCCGGACTGGGAGGGCAGGGAGTGGGCTGGAGGCGGGGCTAAAGTCCGCCCGGGGTCCTGGGAGGAAAAGAGGGTCATGTCTGCCCGGAAGTGTGTGGAGGGGCCAGGCCTAAAAGTCCACTCGAGTTATGGGAGAAGGGCAGGGTTAATTGTATCCTAGGCACAGTGGTGGGGGAGGTTTGTGAAAGACAAATCAGAGCTGGACAGGAGTTAAAGCAGTGAAAATAGATTTTATTCAATAAAGCTATTACAACAAGGAAAGAGAGATTCCAGTGTAGAACTGTGCTCATTCTGAATACAGCTGGAACAACTGGGGATTTAAAGCCAAGGAGCAAGTTGGGTTGCGGGGGTGGGTGTTAGTGCAGAGAAAATTAGGAAGAGGAGACATCAAGTCTGGGGGCATTCTGGCTGAACCAACCTAACAGGATTCTTGATAAAGGCAGGCCGAGGTGTTTGGATATCACCTGGGGGAGATAGTGAGTGGGATGAGAAGTTCCATCAGATATCAGGGTAGGGAATTCTTGATAAACTGACTTAGCATGATTCTTGCTAAAACTGAATTCTCCAAGGAAGTACATGGATAGGCCTTGTTGGGGAGACGGTTTGGGAGACCCTGACTAAAGTTTGGTTAAGCAAAGGGTCTTTGTCAGGGAGGAGAGTGGTCTGGGCAGGATCCTCTGCCCAGTGTCGTCTTCTGTGAGCCGAGGTGCCTATGTCTAGGAAATGGAAACAGTCTGTCACTGCCCAGGACCTGGTATGTTCTGGTTTTCCTTGGGCCCAGTGCACCCTCATCTTCCTTGGGATCCCAGTTCTCTTGTTTTCCTCAGAGTCCAGTGTCTAGTGTTCTCTCGTCTTCCTCAAGTCCCCAGGCCCGGTATGGTCTTGTCTTCCTCAGGGCCCAGGCTCTGATATTCTCTCTCCTCCTTGGTGCTTGGGGCTCTCCTGTCCCCTTCGGGCCCAGGACCTTGTACTCGCCTTTTTCTTGGGGTTTCCTAGCAGGTCTCAGCAACCCTATGCCTCCCTTTGGGTCATCCTGTCCACTGCCTGTTAAACTTAGTCCAGGAGTTGTTATTTTTTACGGCCACTGTGGAGAGCATCCACCCGCAGGCTGCACAGTTCATCTTAATTGCTGCAAATAGTAAGTCTGTTGATTTTTGCACATTGGTATTTACTCAGAGACCATGCACATGTCTTTTATTCTAACAGTATTTCCTTGGATTTTTCTTGGCTATTGTAGATAAGACGCCATCCTCATTCCATAAGTAATTTGGCATCTTCCTTTTGCATATTTTGACTTAAAAAAAATGTTATATAGCAAGACACCATCCTCATTCCATAAGTAATTTGGCATCTTCCTTTTGCATATTTTGACTGAAAAAAAAATGTTATATAGCTCTAGGTAGTGTAACAGAACCATGTTAATTAGTCATATTATTATTGTTGTTTTGTTTTGGCTGTGGCTGGGGATGCTTCTAGTGGTTCACTATCAAGTTTGATCGAGGCCTTTAACATCTTAAGGAAACAAGCCCCCTTGGAAGTTTTTTCAATTATTTCTGTTTAATGGTATTGGATGAAAACATGACTTTAGTTTAAAAGGTGATTTTAAATAAGTATATCGTTGAAGATTGATTCACAAAAGCCACTTTAAGATAACTTTTAACCAATTGCATGTTTTTTTCCTGTTTAGCAAATTAAGCATGCTATTTAATTTACTGTAATTTGATTATGAAAAAAAAGCATTTCTGAACAGATGTTAACTATTATGCATGAAAATATGAAAAATGTTATGCATCCTGTTTGCATACAGGGCCCCAATCCCTTATTTAAAACCTTCAGGGCCAGAAGTATTTTGGAATTGACAAGCGTTTGGATTTTACCAGGAGTGTAAGGTGCACGCACCACGCAGTACTTAACATCCCCAGCAGGTCTAGGGCAGCATCTGCCATCAAACACTTGAGTGTATCTGTAGCAAAATATATGAAGAGTCACACTAGGGCCGGCTCCGTGGCTTAGCGGTTAAGTGTGCGCGCTCTGATGCTGGCGGCCCGGGGTTCGGATCCCGGGAGCGCCCCGAGGCACCGCTTCTCCGTCCAACGTGAGGCCGAGTCCCACGTACAGCAACTAG